GAGCTCAGCTCGAACACGACCGTTTCGCGTGTAAAGCATATAGGTTGCAGACAGCCCAGGTGGCATGCCGACAAATGTCAAATGGTCTAACTGCACTAGACCCTCCAAGAGACGGCCACTGGGACCACTAGTATGGAATGCATGTGAACTGAACACTGAATTGACCTTCTGTGTCCGAAACGCAAGTTGCAACTCAGCCAAACTAGATCTGGAGTGTGCAGTGAAAATTTCAGGCTTGTATTCCACATTGATTGAGATAACTCTGCTCACCGTCACTACCCAAGGACTCACTGGTGTCCAATGGCTCCTCTCTACTGGCGGCAGCGTTGAAAAATTTAATTGTCCTGTGATCGTGACCTCACCGAGATACGGTACCACATCAGGCAATTCTAACCTGCCCGTTAACATAACAGTTTTCCCACGAAATGTGTCGTGTGATTCTTTTGTGTACGTCAGTGGCATGTATTGTGACCTGTTTCTCGCTTGTAGTTGCGCTGTTAGAATGGAGTCCGTGTCACGCATCAACTGACTGACAAATCCACCGAAGTATATGTACGTACTTGCGGCAGGTGACATGCACGGGTTTGAACTGTGTGCACAACTACTATACTCATCTGTCAAGTTCCCCTGTATGTCAAGTGAATTCGGGTTGAATATCATGCGAATCGACTGCGGTCCGGGCAACACAACCAACAGTCGCGGGACCAATCCAGTAGTTGGTTTGGGTTGCGGTTCATCAGTGCGGTAGACCTGACAAGAGTAGTACCCAACGTCATGAGGCTGGAGCTCCGTTTTAATCAACTGAAACGTGTACGTTGATTGCACAAACGCTATTCTCATACCGGATTGGTGGAGACTTTCCTTCGGTGAGTTCACAGTCATTTGGTACGTGCAAGACACTCGATACAGCATATTGTCCACAGACTCATCGTCATCTCCCAGATAACCCGGGAGAGACATTCGGTCACCAATGTGGAAGTAACCTTGCCAATACACTGTGATCTTAGTTAGGTGAACAATGCCCGATGAACCGTCAGGAAGTATCAATGCGCTCATGTTTGCGTTGGCCGGCTGCGCTGTCCAATTCTCGACGTTATTGAGCACAGAATCAATGAACGCTCGATCCACTTGAATTGCCTGGAGGTTTGGGGCATAGCACTGATAGATCCCGATCACGACCACACTGTGCTCCAACCGAATGCCACAGATCAGCGTCACATCTGCAATGTTAGGATTGAGAGATGGTATCAGTCCACCACTATCGGTTGGTATGGATGCTGCTTGTTCCTCTGTCCAATTCACGACGACCAAACTTCGGCAACGTTCCGCTTGCCAAAACCCATTGTGTTTGTATAGCATCCATACTGCCAAGTGACCTCTCGGATGACCCAAGTATGCGGGAACCTTGAGGGAAGGGTTGCTCTCGTTCAAGAATGATAATGTACTCATGTTTTGAAATTGCACTTCATTGTGGACTGATCCAGGATCAGTTCTGATTCGATCTTGTAGGACAACGTCTGATGATTCGATCATGTGACGGTAAATGACAGGTGCTCTAAGCGCTGTCACTTCAATCACTCTAGAGATACGTGTTGTGAACGGTTTCAACTGATGCTTCCTGTGGATGAAAGTCAATTCACACGTGAACTCGATCGATCCAATAAAGTTTTGCGCCGCTGGAGCTGTCAGTTTGTAGGAGGCGACGCTGTGAATGTGATCACTTTCAGTACGATATCGATCGGTGATGAAGCTTCCTGCATCCAATGCACTGATAAAACCACTCGCCGGTCTAAGCACGATGTGCACAGTCTCGTTCCAATCTATTGGGGTCCCATTAGTATACGGACGCACACAGTGAACATGTAGACTCTGTTGACTGAACAAGATCGGCAGATTGCTTCCTGTGCAATAGGTGTAATTCCCTCGCAAATCGCCCACCGGAGTGAAACGATGATGTGTGATGAACAGCTGGAGCACAGAAGAATCGGGGCGTATGTACAAATTGCGCTTGGCGAACCCGATTCGTCTGCGACCTCGCAGATTCTGGCATTCATAGATACCCGTGTCATAGAATTCCACCTTGTCCTTCACTAATAGTGCACCCATTTCGCCTTCCAAAAGCTCTACCCTGAACCCATGTTGCATGGGATTTCGACCTTTCTCGGAAGGTATGAAATAGTGCAGGCATTTCAAAGATTGCCCGCCGGTTGGATAAATGCGGGTTAACATGCTTACCGGAGCACCTGCGTTGATCATGTTATTCCATGTAGGCCTGATAGCCACAAACTGGTAAGTGCCATTTGAATTGCTTGGATAGTCGATACGAAGCTTATCGGCACATGTGGTTGGGCGATGTCTCCACTCTTTGAGTGACCTCCCAAGTGTGAGATAAGTGATCTGTGCTTCAGTGTCCTCGTTTAATGTCAAAGTGAACGCCGATATACTCAACGCACTATGTTCCGGTCGAAGTACACACATGAGTGAGACGTTGGTCAGATTGGCCATGGACAGAAATTTCTCGGAATAGTGAACTTTCACCGTAGGGGGTGCATCGACCAGTTCTACACCTCTCATCTCTGTGACCTTACAGTCTTCGTCAATCACTTCTTCACCATCAACAATGTACGTATGTGCGGCGACCTCACCTACGGGCAAACCCAGTGCAATCAACACGTGAATCCGAGCTAACTGCTCCGGAAATGCTTTCACAGTATACTCCCAAAATGTCTTGGCACAATCAATTTTGACCGGGGTTCGTTGTAGTCCACTTTGAAGTGTAAGGTCGGTGCTACGTGTTTCCATCGCGAAAATTACCGGTGACAGCCTGACCTCAAATTCCACCTGTTGCTCAGCACGAATAGGGATGAGGAATTTAGCGGGTGTTATATCATCCTCTTCAAACATGCTGCTCGTGTATTGTGCCGTACACACAGCTCGAAGTGTGGTATACACTTGGTCTGTTTGTGGCCCCTCTGCAAGATGCTTGTACTCCAACTCACCCCGAACATTCCGCTCCACCAAGATCAAATTGATGGCGAATTTTCTCTTTCTGTCACTATCCATCACTAACTCCGCAGCTACAACGATCGAGTCCTGCTTGTCAATGACGTGGCGCAACACACACACGACATGCGGTTGTTCTCCGATGTTGAAATGGGGCACTTGGATTGAGTCATGTACAAGCGACCCGTGGTCCAGCTGGGGCGCTTTCGATACGTAAATATCCAGATCACCTGCATCCGGTAACACGACGATGCGACGGGGCGCAGTGAGGATACGATCTGTGCTATCCACACCGAGTTGAGTGTAGTTGCAAAAGTAGATACCCGAAGTGGAGCGATTCACTGCGAACGGCGAAATGTAGTAATCGATGCTGCGTGTATGCACATTGTAAAATATTCGCGTTCTATCACCACTGCGGTTTTCCGAATAGTAGCACCGAACTTCGTGCATCACGTTTGATCGCAAATGCAACAGAAGTAGACGCCACGGATCACCCAATTTATGCGAAGCATGCCACCCTATAAACACCTTGTGCACACGATAGGAAACAGCCACAAATGGAATGTCATTAGCCAGCTCCCTCAGTTCATCACTCCCAGGGTTCTCGAGGTAATGTTGCACAAGATGAATAGCATTTTGCGCCAATGTCTCTTGGATGCTTGCCTCTTTTGTAATTTTGCCCGTGAAGGCCAGAATCATCAGAGCTACGTGTTCTGGTCGAAACGTACACAAGAACCTCGTCCAAACGAAGCCCTGAATGCCATGTTCATTGTATCTAGGGTGCTGCTTTAGGTCCTCAGGAATGTTGGATGGATCGTACGCTCTCTGAATTTCCTTATAGCAGTCCTGTTTCCAAATGCCCGAATAATTGAAGAATGTCCAAGCGACCACACGACCCACTGGTATGCCAAGGTGAGCACTAACATCCAACTGCATGATCCCTTCTAATATTCGGTCTTTGGGACCAGACTGGTGAAATTCCACAGCACTTAGTCCTTGTGAGTCACTCGTATGTTTGAAGTTTTCCAGTAACCTGGGATAATCAGATGTCAGATGCTGATTGAAGATGATCGGCTGCATCAGTGCCTGCGGGCGGATATGTACTGATTTTGTCTGCTGAATCAAACTGATTTTGCCAAGTTCCACGTCACGTAAGGTGCCAAGTTTGTCCAGATTAAACACACAAGTCACTCTTGAAAGTGTTATCTTGGGTTCAGGAGGAACCATGGTAACAGTGAAGGTTGAAACTTGATATTTTCCTTCTTTGTCGTTATATCCCATCCCTGGCGCATACGTTTCTTCCGACCAAGTTCCACTCGTTTGGTTGTACACCTCGAATTTGAGCGACGTGTTTGGATGCGCTCTGACGAATGGTGGAAGCGGGTAGACGCAAGCAACCTCTACAGGTTGGGAATAGAACAAGTACGCCTTCTCCCCATTAAGGTATTGTTCGAAGTCTGTTAGCGGCTTGATGACACCAATTGAGAATTTCTTCTCGCTCAGATGTATCGACATCATGCTAACCGTTGGAAGAACTACAACCGTCCTCTCCGGCAATCCTGTGCTATAAGCACAACCATGTTTGCATGCCATATCGTAGCAGTAATACACTCCGGAGTCCATTAAAGCTGCATTCTCTAAACCCATATGGAAATATCGCCCTATTTTAGTAAAGGTGAGGTATTTTCGCCAATTGACAAGCTCCTTCATCTCATTAGTATTCCCTTTATAATATTTATAGCACCAAATCCTGTCATATTGGTCCTTCCCAACTCTACCTAACATCGAAAATCGGGAGCCCACCGTCGTCACCACTTTGGGGTAAAAGTGTAATTTGATAGCAAAATATGACCGCTTATCGCGGACCATAGTCGTTTTCACTGGGGGAGCAACGGACATTTCGCCAATGGAGACGAGGTATCGTTGAAACCAATTCACTGCATGGATCTTGAATGTCTCTCTCTCCTCTTTAATATTAGCTGAGTTTAAGATTACACCGACCAGTCCAATGTGTTCCTGCATAACAGGCCACTTAAATTCGTACCAACGAAAATACGAATAGTCCAAAATGTGGTAATTAGGAGGCTTTTCGTCTGCGGAAAAATCTCGTGTCCAAGTTCGTGGACAAGGTTCAAGTTCGATTCTCTTTCCATCCCACCATACGCTCCACAGTTCCACTTCACCTGCAGGCCAGCCCCTGAATGCACCCAAGACAATACTGACGTACTCCTCAGGTAATATACTTGTCGTGGAATCGGGTTGAAGAAGATTGCGTTCCGCATCTCCCGAGTCTAGTTTCTGTATTTCGCGCGCTAGGCCGATGTTACCATACGTTTTTTCAAAAAGAAACTGGCCATAGCCGTAATCCTCCGCGTGCACTGTGACCGAATTTGAGATATTAAGTACCTTCGGATCGATCATATCATCCTGTGGATCTCGCAGCAGATGATTCAGTGTGACCGTACAAGTCAGCTCCATGCTCGTCCAGAGTGTGGTGACGTTTACTCCCAAAATAATGTAATGGCGAGTGTGTTGCTTGACCGGGGGCTTCCATACAGTGTCACACGGCATCCCGTAGGAAGGTTTCCGTGATCTGTGCACCAAGCAATGAAGGGTCCACTCGCTGTCCGCCACCAGGAGTTCCGGTGAGGGCAGTGAGCAGGTAACGAAAACATCTTGAAATAGCAACAGTTTCGGTTCTCCTGTGGGCTCTTGCGCTAGGTGTTCGTATTCGACAGTGATGTTCATGGTCTCACCCCTCGGTACTACAAACACGCGTCGAACGGGCTCAAGCAGCGTCCAACAGGTTGGACACGTATTCACTTGACATTCGTACGTACCGGCGTCAGTCAATTCCGACTTCGGTTTGCGCAATTCGTAATAGTCCATATTTGTCTCCTTCAGATGCTGAAATCCATGTGGCAATGGCAGCTTCTCCATACTAAGTGGACGCGTGTGAAAACAACGCACGTTGTCAAGTGAATCCACGACATGGAACCAACGCATAAGTATTGGTTCACCCTCAATTACAGTGGCACGCCACACCACCGCCAGTTCGACAAGACGGTGTGTGCTTTTGAGTCCGGGCGGATTAATCGCTACGGGCGTGGTGTTTGATAGACCAGTGTTCCCAATGCTGTCTTGCAGTACTGAAATCAACTTTGCAGTGCACGATTCTTCTAGTTGTTGTTCATCTGAACCATTCTCATGAAGGTGGAATACACTTAACACCAGGGTAATCGTAGTCAATCGAATACTGCAATTGAACTCGACCTGACTAGCCATCATCGCCTCCGAGCCGATCGCGTCCGGTGAATCGGTCAAGTTCAAATCCGCATCACTCTTTTGTCTGTGATTCACTAGGCAATATCTACGTGATAGTACTGACTTATTGGCCCTGTCGACGACCCATACAGAGACTCGGAACGCATCTGCATAATGCAGAGCAATAAAGCCACCTGAAAGCACCTCTTGTCGTATTGTGCATCGCAACAAACGAAACGGTGAAACGTTCGGAAACAACGCCTCCGTTTTGTTTAGAGCGTCGGTCACATTTTCGTGGGACGTGCGAATGGTGGAGGCCACAATTTTCGGCTCCATATGGAGGCTGGTGTACGCAATCACGTAATTAGACACCGTCTTCTGTTCCTCTGGTAGTTTTGGATGTACGCGGACTAGCCGAAAGGTTGGTTCGTATTGAAACGAGCATTGGAGTTTAAATTTGCTCACACCGTCGGCGTTGTTGTGCTTTTCTATTCGGTATATGTGATACGTGATGTTGTTCCTACCTTGAAGTGAATACCATGTGTCCACATGTTGATATGGAAGGTGAGTCGCCATGTTGATGAATATGTACTCAAAGTGAATACCATTGTAATTATCATATCCCGTGGGTAGCACAAACCGGCAGTTGACAAACACACTGCCTCGGAGGTAGGTCCTGTTCAACACATCCTTATATGGATATGCAGGCACAGTCAGTCCGTCGCGTCGCCAGTGTTGCTCGCTGAGGAACACTGTGATGTTATCCTCGTGTGGAAGGACAATCAGGTGGTAATCTAGGATCTCTGGAACAGCGTCACCTTGCGCCTTGCAATTATATATGCCGGTATCGTGCGGCTCAAGATTAATCAGTTCCATCGCACCACTTTGCCGGTTGCACTTCATTCGATTTTGCCCCGAGTACGTATCCACCAATCGCAGCTTCTTTTCGCACTTTGCTAAATGGCGACATGTCCGCATATATGCAGTTCGAAACTGGAAATTTTCACCAACTCGATACACGGCTTTGCGAGTCGATTTAATATTTAATAACCGCATTGCAGGAGTACGCCATGATGGATACCGAAAATTCACCCGTTTACCCACCATTATACTCTTTGCAGCGTCAATGATTGGGATCAGTGAATCGTTCCCGAACTGGCGATGAAGTTCCGAGTCAATTATAACAAACAGAACGGCATCCACCGGAAAGGACACGACTATAGTACTTGTGACATCAAAAAAACGCTTCTCAAGTTTCCGATTAGTGTAGACCATTTCGGAGAATAATCCATGGAATTTGCTTTTGGTGAATCTATATGCACCGACTTTCCCTGGATGCACGTCGTATTCCATCGAGTTTGGTTGCGTGTGAAAGGCAATTACTTTTAAGACATGTTCGTGTGCCATCCACCCGGTCAGCTGGAAGTTCCATTCCTCCTGGTCCGATTTGTAAAACGTTTTTTCGTGAAAGTCTTCGAAATCTAGGGTATGGCTTTCTGGAATCTGATGCGTAATTATGCGTTTAGTATACGTATCAAGCCATACCAGCGAAACTATCTCAGGGCATGGTACGAAGGTTGCTAGTTCGGAGAAAGTGGTTGTAAAATACTTCGGTCCATTCGGAGTCTGGAAATACACATGCACAACAGCACCAGTTCCCTCTAACTTCTGTGTGGATAGTTCGGTGCGCACTTCATACCGCAGCAGTTTGCGATTACTGGTGCTTCGCACCATGTCGTAAAAGAGCACACGGTCACATGTGGTAGAATGTCGACTTGTACGCAAGTCACAGCATTCAAAATACTCGGCAGCTTGGTAATCGCACAACATGAATACAGTACCGTTTACAGGACTG